GAGGGATCGAGCCTAATTGAAGGGATGCAAAGAAAAAGAACCGCTATGGTCAACATACAGAACACACAATCTAAGTGCGCATATAAACCTTTTCAAGTATTCTGACCTGATAAGAAATGACAAGAACGCCACTGCTGTCNCGGTTAGTCGCCATATCCTTCAGTATCTCCAACCGGCCAGTTACAGAGTCTTTTAGACCCCAACCTGGAAGACGGAAGACATCTATTCTACCTAATCGTTCTGTTCATTTCTTCATGCCTTGCCTCCGCGTCATCTGTTGACCTCCACGCGGTTTGTCCCAACCTGGAGCCGCAACCGCGAATAATCCTCGGTAGATGACAGCTGGGCATGTGCAATACGTGTCCTAACCAGCGAAGCCAATTAATCTGAATTCGATGGGACAAACAATTCTCCATCGAATCATTACCAAATACGCAACGACTTACCTCAGAGTTACTTATACGCTCCCTCCATTCAACCCGCGCCGAACTACGTAAACATCTCCAGTCCAATAATTCAAGACGATGAATATCTTCCACGCGCAAATTTAGCGTCTCACAATCATAGAGCAGAACTGACCGCACACGGGCGCAGTATAAACAACTTTCCAGTTTCAACGAAACATCGCGTCTGCACCAAAGGTGTTTCAGTCCTGCGTAAGCTGTTCGAACCTTGGAAATGCGGGCGGTTGCTTCATCGACTATGTTACCGTCATTTGAAACGCAGCTACCTAAGTAAGTGGAACATTCCACTACAGCTAATTCTTGACCGTCAAGCATCGGCCCATAAATTTGCACTTTGAAGATGCAAGCGCATACCGAAAGGAGATACAGAACTTGCTAGTCTGTCAAGAGCGCATTGCGCATCCTCCATAGATTCAAACAGGCATACGATGTCATCAGCATACAGCTTTTATCCAGTTGCCCATTCGATACCGACGTTTTGGAGACCACTAAGTGCGTTCTCCAGTACTTTATCTACGACGAAATCGAACAGGAACGGCGAAATAGGGCACCCTTGACGAACACCGCTCCTGGTTTCAAACAATTTATCTAGCCCACCGTAAACCTTTACGCTACCAGAAGTACGCAAGTACAACGACCGCAATAGATTTACATACTTTCGTGGCATTCCTTTGTTCAGCAGTGACCCCAGAAGAGGTTCACGGTCAACCGCATCGAAGGCTCCTTTTAGGTCGACGATGTGTGTGACGCAGCTCGAGGACTTGACACAGAGTGAAGGTTTGACCAACGCACCCGCGACCTGGTCGGAATCCAGCTTGCTGTTCGCGGATATTCCTGTCAGGCGGCGAAGTATCACAGAAGTCAGCACTTTTGTGATTATCGGAACGAAACTAATTGCACGGTGGTTAGCGCAGTCGTTGAGTGATCCCTTCTTGAAAATCGGGACGATCAACGATTCACCCCAGGACAAAGGGATACGCTTCTCCGCCCAAATGCTGCGAAGTAAGCTAGTAATTGAGTCAAGAAGAGAACCACCGCCCAACTTAAAAAGAATTGGGAGAAGCCCATCAGGTCCGGCTGCCTTTCCTTTCTTTAATGATTGAACGCAGCTTCGTACTTCCGATTCTGATGGGGGCTCGCATGTTACCACCCATGGGGTTTCCGCCGCAATTGCTGGAAGATCACATTAGCACTGGGCCAATTGAACTGTTCACTAAAATACTTTGCCCAACGATCAAGTCGTTATTCTTTATTGTGAATGCTTTGTCCACTTTTATTGCAAATGGTCTCATTGACCGGTATGGGACGACCTCCGGTGCTGCGTACCAGGTGAAACTTTCTTGGACTATTCCCTGATGCAGAGGCTACCTCCATTTCACTAGCTATTTCGGTCCACCAATTTTCACGATCTTTCTTAAGGCTATTCCTGAATTAGCGTTGCAGGCGACATCGGTCCTTATGCTGATCCTGGCAGATTGGGATCTTTCGCTTTTGGTCCATCAGGATTACTGACTCCTGAGAGATCCAATGCCTACGGCGAACTTCGGGCTCAGTCTCACGAGCAAAGTTTGCTGCTGAGTGCATCGCAAATCTAATCTGATTCCGCTGTTGGTCTACTCCACTATGTCGCGGTTCTCCTAGCTCCTGTCCCAGCTTCTCCTCATAACGTGCGCAGATAGATGGATGGCGCAGACGATGGTGAGCTAACTGAGGAGGCAATTTCTGCCGATGACCGATGAGTCGAAGAATGAAGCGTAACAGAAGTAGTGCATGGTCTGACTCAACGCAGGTGGTCTAACAGGATCTGCAATTTTGTACTGAACCACGCCAACGGTAGCTTACAGCTATATGGTCAATTTGGGTCAATTTTCCCATTGGACTAGAATACCATGTAGCCGTTCGACGAGAGCTGTATCAGAAGTTGGTGCTAAATAAGAACAACCGGTGATCCGCGCAGAACTGAAATAGTCGATCACCGTTGTCTGTTCGCTGGGCGGGGAGGGTGAAGTACCCTCCTAGACAGGCTTCGGATGCGCTTAGTTTTCTAACCTGCGCGTTAAAATTACCTGCCAGCACTATAATATCAGAGTTGCGGCTCAACCGAATCAGTTCGGCGAGTTTGTCGTAAAATTCATCCTTTTGTGAAGCGGGACTGCAGTTGGTTGGTGCATACGCGGAAATGAACACCTTTTGATGTTGCTATCCTTCCGAACACGAACTGAATCCTGTAGCCTCATTGCACACAAACGAATATTGACGAGTATCCAATCTACCATAGAGGCTTCAGATTTATCGTTTAGTATGATCCCTACACCATGCTGACCCAGTGAGCGGGCTTCGTCGTCTCCTGACATGCGAAGGAAATACCTCGAGGACAGACCCGGCGCACTCAGGTGGCTAATAATAATTCGTGTCTCCGATACGCAACAGACATTAATTTCTAGAGACTCCATTGTACGCCCAAGACACGCCTGTTTACCTACCTGCATAAGAGTCCTCACGTTGAAAGCCCCCAGATTGAGAGGTTGACGAGGCTTCAAAATCTGCACTTTATTTACAGAAAAACTAGTTACAGTTATTTGGCAACGACCTTTGGCGAATGACGACCAAGTTATCTGAGGGAATGTTACGGGTAGGACGAAGGGTAAGAGGATAGGGTTGGGTACGGAAGACAAAGAGTAAAACAAAGATTGGGATATCTAAGCAGTAGCCCACTTATCACTACCCGCGCCGCTCGATGCAATGAGCAGCGCGGTTCTGATTATCCTGTGCGACGACTCATGCAGTATGAAATTATCTCTAGATTGTGTTCATTGGAGCTTTATGGACGGGTACTGCCGGGATGTCCAGCCACTAAGCAGGAGGACGATTAGGGTTCTCAACCAAAGTCTGCAGTTCTGACTAGAACCTGACCGCAAGGCAGTGGTTAAGGCGGATTGGAGGCCCATTAACTTGGATCTATTATTCTTCCAACACGTTTTACCGACTCAAGTCGAACCCTTACCTGGAGGACTATGAGAGTGAACTTTGTCTGACCTCCACCCATTGACCTTCCAGGCATGATTAGGTCTTTGGCTCGGCAAAAGCTATCCTGTGTAGCTCGTTGGGTCAGAGAAGTGCATAAGCCATCACACCACGTCAAGGTGCAATCTCGACGGCCTTCTCTGATTGATTCTCAGAGCGGAACAAGCACCATGAACTACGCGGTACATCTCTCCTAATATTCATTGCAAATAGTATCATAAAAACAGGTGAAAGTTTCTGGGGTCTAAATGGTTGAACAATGGTAGGAGTGAATGCATACCGCAGTGGTCAAGTGTCAAAGTAACTCTCTCTGGAACATAGGAATCAATAGGAAGTTAATTCAGGAAGAACCGCACAGGAAAGCTTATACAAGTGGTCTATTGTTCCTCCGTTCAGTGGTTCAATAAAAGACAGTACTCTTAGTTTTCTTTTAACTAGCGTATTTTAGATACAGTCAATTCCGCAGGAATCTCGGTGGGCCTCAATTCACTGTTTTCCGAGGTTCATGAAACCGAAATTCCGCATACCATGACGAGTAAATGCAAAAATAACACTCGCTCCTTGGTTATTGAGCGACCAAGATGAATATTGATATCCCCATTGTTAGAAGCATTAGAAAAACAATAATCTGCTTTGATTTAAATTCCATGTGGGAACAGCGATGAATGCCACAAACCACCGTTCTTAAAGTGTTCAATGAAAACGAAACTATCGTCGTAAAAAAATTATGTCAACTCTCACAGAAACCCAAGACAGAGTTCTAAACACAAATGCAAATTAGTATTTATGGTACTAAACACAGAAAAAATTGGCAGATCTCTTACAAGGAAATACCCCAGATTTTTCTTTCTTGCAACCTTGACCAATTATGCCAACACCAAAAGCTTAGAATTTCTCGAAGCTCCTTGTAAATGCCCGATTGCTTATCCCTTGTGAATAAAGTTCAAAGATGAAACATTCGATAGGATTCCTTCTCAATGCTACTTACGCTACATCTCTTGATATAGGTTGTATATACCTACCGAAGTCGGATGGCAGAGGGTAGTTTCGATTCCCAGACACTGCGCCTCATTAACAGCGAATTAATCTCCTCAGTCAATGGCGAGAATATGAAATAATATCATCTTAATATCCGGTAGGTATTGCCCAGGGAACAGAACTAATGCAGTCTTTTACAAACAGTAAATCAACAGCTATCAACCAGTACAGTGGACAGACCATTTCAGCCCTGGGAATGCAATGAAGAACCTCAAAAGTTCAAACTCACAAAGGCTGGGATCCGCGAAACAACCTCGTGTCCATTAAGAATGGTAGTACATTAGTAACGTGAATGGAATTTTGTAGGCCCATCTGACGCAACTCCAACTCCAAGCATTCTGACATACGCAATGAAGCCGCCTTGCTTGCACAATAATCCGACAAACCCACTCCAGGAATGGCCCCGGCCACTGAGGTGATATTGACAATGTGTCCCCGTGGCACGTTCACATTGGATGGCGTGATTTGGTCTCCACCTGGGCGCACACTTTCCACATTCAATCGACCGGCGGACAGCATGGATGGCAAGAATGCTTGAATCGTCTGCAGAGAAGAAAATATCCATGTCATTCTTTTTCCACATATCCTAATGCAACGAACAGTATAACAGGTGAACCAACCAACAATCAGTAACGCGAACAAACAACTTAGGTCTTGAAATATGGAGTGGCAAACCACATGAGATTCCAACAAGATAGATGTGGTATTCGGTTCAACTCAGAGTGCAGGACTTGATGGCGAAATCTCAATGCATCCAGTTTCTTGCTCCAATGGGCTCCTTGATTAAGCAGTGCTTCGACAATACGACGTCCTCCTCTGATATTCACTACATTCTGTGATCGATAGTAGATCCGATCCTCGTATCCCGCTCTAGTGTCCTGTGTCAAGACTTTCATAAGCCCTATCCGGAAAAAAATTATAAGTGTAGTACAGAACACTCCTAAAAGCAAGCATTTTCTTAGTTTGACCACACAGTCGCATGCTCGTATTGAACGTTGAACAGTTCCCTATCTAAACTTGGCTTGAACTCTATCAGCTTCTACAACTTCCTTCGATACGCCATTCCAGTCGCTCACCGATCTGGTTGCGTGGGGACGGCTTCTAATGACGATTTTCAACTCTTCCTTAACACCTATGAGCTTTGTCTGTGGGTTTCAACAACACTGGTCTTTGCTTACTTGCTTATACCAACAGTTTCCGTTATACCTTTAATAATCATGAACGTTTCAGTTAAATGACTCATTTGAACACCCGACACATTTCAACCGTTTTTCTCGTAGCTCAGACCCATGGTGTCCAAGTCACTTGGCGAAACGACACTGTACCTGAAATAGCACGTTTTACCTTCTGAGCCTTCTGGCCACATTGACGGCTTGATTCTAAATTTGGACTCATGATTGACCTCAATCGGTATTTTCAACTCTACTTATTATTCTGGTGGATCCAAATGACTATATGAGCCACGGATCTTCCTGGTCAATGAGATGCTTACATTTTACCACATGTAGATATAACTATTATCGCATTTAATGATTTGCTAGTACTCCAATTAACGTCACGTCAGCTTTAAACGTAGAGTGCGGGTTGACTAACCTCTAACCTAGATCGTTGACAAATTGCGCAAACCAAAGATCGATTCATGGAGAACCCCAATCATTTCTCTCTTCTTTCAGTGTCATCTGAAATTCAGTCTAAAAGATAGTGAAACTACTGACCAATTAGGCGAATTTCAAATGTGAGTTTCCTTAACACCAACGCTGATTTTACCTTTCTTTAGTTTCAGTTCCAGTTTATACAACTATTAACAATGTAGTTAAATGCGATAGAACTCTTTTTGATGACCGACAAAGAGCACTGGACAGTTGTTTCATCCTGTTTCGAACTCATCAGCAGTGCGTACCTTTTGCGTCCCTGTCAGGTCTCAAACTGCGAACCTTCGGATTGTGAATTCAAACCTTTACCCCTGAGCGGTTGACGATCATCACGTTGTGTGAATGGTTCAATCAATTTAGGATATCAAATTTGGATTAATCCATTTGATTGTTCTGAGGCCCCACAGCCCTTAGGGCTAGAGTGTAGATTCAAAGACTCTTCTCAGGGTTTCCAAAGAAAACCCCTTCTTCAGTACGCCTTTCCCTAAAGTCTAAGACATCTATTTGGAAAACCTTGTTTCCCAACCCCTTAGTTCAGCATTCTCGGAGAAGTTCTAGTAACCAGCTGCAAGCAAGTAAGGACATCATAGACGCATTGACCAGTGAAACGTTTATGGAAATGCATTTCAAGTTCTAAAGCTAGTTCAAGTGGACTGAAATTCCAAATGATCGGTTCCATGTAGATTAGTGGTGGTGAGAATTTTCAGGAAACACGAGGATTCACAATGTCATCGGTGACATTTACCTCTTAGGAAACACCAAGCAGGTCCTCGTGACTATGGAGCTTTCCCCGTCTACTGTTAATCACACGAAAGTGTGTAATAAAACAAGACAATAATGAATCAAGACCATTGAGTACCCAGTAAGCG